CACACTGCAAGAGGGCATAGGCCGGGCTGAGGGACCCACCCATCCCCCCAGTGCACAAATTTTTGTGCACTGGGCCTCTAGTATATATATAAAAGCCTAAGTGAGCATTCGATCATTGGACCATTTGACCAGTAGCTATGACGCATACTGACCACCGGGGGAAGATGCTCCAACCAGTAGGTTAGCTTGCTGCTGGGGTCCAGTAGATCAGGACTGGGAGAGATGGGCTGGACAGTCCCTGGGACCCTCCCACAGTCCCTCCCCGGCCCCAATCGTGCACCAGTGTGAGGGACCAAACCGGTGCATGAATCCATGCACTAGGCCTCTAGTATTAGAATATTTCCTCTAATTAATTCCCTTTTAATGTGCATGAATTTTGTGCACTGAGCCACTAGTAGTAAATATTTCATAGGACATTTACATCTGCTTCTTCAAGGCCACAGTAACACAGTAGAGTCAACAAATACTTCATTGGTGGTGAAGATGGAGAAACTGGGCACCCTGCCCTGGCCGGTTTGGCTCAGTGGATAGAGCATCAAACTGCGGACTGAAGGGTCCCAGGTTCCATTCCGGTCAAGGGCACCAAAAAATAAAATAAAAGTAAAAATAAAACAAAGGAACTGGGTACCCAGAGACCACATCGTCTACCTGAGGTTACCCTCTGACTCCTCATTGACATTCCTCGTTCCACATGGAACAGAATTCCTCTCACTGTCCTTAGTGGTCCTTTCCCCCTCGGCTCAGGATTCTCATTTAGATCTAAGACAGTGGTTCTCAACCTGTGGGTCGCAACCCCTTTGGGGGTCGAACGACCCTTTCACAGGGGTTGCCTAAGACCATCGGAAACCACATATATAATTACATATTGTTTTTGTGATTAATCTCTATGCTTTAATTATGTTCAATTTGTAACAATGAAAATTCATCCTGCATATCAGATATTTACATGACGATTCATAACAGTAGCAACACGAAAATGATTTTATGGTTGGGGGTCACCATAACATGAGGAACTGTATTAAAGGGCCACGGCATTAGGAAGGTTGAGAACCACTGATCTAAGAGAAAGAGAGAGACTGGAACATAGGAAGTGCTCGATAAAATATAACATTTTACCTTTCAGGGAGGCCTGCCCTAGCCATCTGCCCCAGCCCAGCACTCCCAAGCCCTTTATCCTCCTTGGCATTTGCTGCTATAGCACTGAGGACTTTTTAATGTCTTCTATTAGGGTTTGCACCATCAGCATTGGGGGCCAGTATTGAGCAGCATGCCACTAGATGCCAGGATCACCCCAACTCCCACCCCCAACTGTGGCTCCACAAATGTCTCCAGACATGGCCCAATGTTCCCTGGGGGGCAGGATCCTCCCGTTGAGAATCACTCTCTATGCACCTTCCTTTTTCATGACGTTCATTATTTGCTGTCAGTCTATCCCTGTCCCGACTGCAGTGTTTGCTCCAAGGAGGGACTTTGCTCACTTGGGCACTGGTGTAGGTGTGAACAAAACCCACTCCACCTCTGTGTCCGGATTTCATTTCATTTTTAAGTTTTGTGCTGTGGCCAACCTCACTCCTTTAGCAAGCATATCAAGCCTCCTAGATGATGATTATCTGTGTTCCTTAAAATGGAATCATAAATATTTTTGTTAGTAATGGCAGAATGGCATGGCAACCAAGAAAAAAACCAAACTGGCGATAGTATCGATTTGGACAACCATCCATCACAAGACCATCAGGAGAATGGCCCCTGCACTACCGCGTCCTCGTCCCTCTGTCCTGTCGGTCACCAGTACTCGGTTATACTGTGAACAGCACAGTCACGGGGTCTGGTAGCGGAAACTAATCTGCACAGACTGCCGGGTCATCTGTTCTGCTCCAGCGCAATCTTCCCGAACGTAAATAACGCTACAGTGAATTCTATCATACTATGGCGTTGCCTGCCTTGTTTTTCGGTCTGAAGTTAACTTCGCAATACGGTGGCCATTACCCCTCTGCCACCATAGCACGATTCCCGGTTCCTAGGTCGATGCCTGAACACGGGAGGTGTTTGATCTCTGTTGAAAGAATGAACGAACATTTAGTGGGTTTTGTGTCTGGGGATGGTGCCGGGGCTTAACATCCATAACCTCATTTCTTTATCACAGCATCCCTTGGAGAGAGGTCCTCCTTTGCACAGAGGAGAAAAACTGAGGCTTCTAGAAGCTACATACATATACCCGTCCACCCACCCACCCAAGGGTTGAGCCCGGAAGCTTGGCTGACCATCTGTGTTCCCCCTTCTGAGGACAGAAGGAAGGATCAGCGTCTGGCAGGCGTCGGTGGGAGAGTTAAGGAGCGAAGCTGAGCTGACCGAGTCCAGGCCTGAGGGGGCTTTCCCAGACCCAGAAGGAGGCCTGTCCCTCTTGGGAGGAAACCCAACCTCTGACCCATGAGAGCTGGGGACCAAAGTGAAGCCCCAGCACCAGCCTGGAGATGTTGCTATGGCTACCAGGCAAAGGAGGTTGGTACCGTGCACAGATGCGCGCGCGCACACACACACACGCACACACACACACCAGCAAGTGCTCACACTCCACTGCCCATGCCCCTCCACTTTCTCTCCCCCCTCACCCCCCCTACTCTTCCACTTCCTTTACTCCACCTCACCCTTACCCCCTAGCTCAGCCCAGAAAGGGCCCAGCCCTGTGATTGGTCAATGGGTCCTTGGTACCAGCAATGGAAAGGAAAGAAATGAAAAGGAAGGAAGAGGGGAGGCGGGGCAGGGGGAGGGAGGGGCTATATTTACATCCATGCCCAGGCTGGGAGCCTGCTCACCATGGACAGTGTGGAGTACAGCAACTTGGGTGGCGGGCTCAAGGAGGCCCCCACAGGTATGAACGAGCAGTGGGACCTCACTTGCCTCCTTGGGTCCCTCTGATTGGGGATTTGATGGGCAAGGGAGGTGACTTCCAAGCAAGGGAGCAAGTCCCGGGTGCAGGAGAGACACCCCAGGCCCGAGCCAACTGGACATAGATTCAGATTTTGACTCTGCACCCAAAGCTGCTTAACCTCTCTGCATCCCAGGGCTGGGTCCTCAGGGCTCAGGGCTCCAGGACTGTCCTGGAGCTGGAGGGACCCACGAGTCCTTTGTTATTCAAGGGCCCTGGGGCCGCTGGGGCCGGCGACTCCTCCTCCTGACCCTGGCTCTCCTGGCCACCACAGTCCTGTGGGCCTTCGTGCTGAGCATCCTGCTTTCCAAGGGTGAGTGGCGGGTATGATGGGAAGACCGTGTCCCAGTCGCCGCCCCCCCCGGACCCCCCACTGCTCAGTTTCTTCCCTCCACCCCGGGGCGTAACAGCTGGGTCTCCGACCCTGCCGGGGGATGGGTGTGAACACACGTGACCAGTGTGTGTGCATCCTGGGGCTGTGCACCGCATGCGGGTGCATGTGCACGCATGAACGCGTGTGTGCGGTCTGGTGTGTTTGTCGCCCCTCGGCGCCCGGGCGCATCATGTGCGCTGTGCCCCTGCCCCCATCTCTTCGCAACCCAAGACGCGAGCTCCCGCATCCCTGGGGCGAGGGGGTTCCCGGGGCCCCGGGCCGCGTCCTCAGGAGCCTCTCTCCGCAGCCTCCAAGCAGCAAGGGGCGTTGCTGGGCGGCCAGGACCTGCTGAGAACAAACGGTGCGTGCAGACCGGGGCTCCTGGGTTGATGAGTAGGTGGGTGGGTACCCCAAGGTCCCGGAGCTGGCCCCAGAGTGGGGAAGGGTGTCCCCATGAGTCCCGAGGGTGACTTGGCGTGTGTGGGTCGGGCGGGGGTCGTTGCAGCCTCGAAGCAGACGGCGGTGCTGGACGCCCTGAAGGACGAGGTCGGAGCCTG